AATGATGACCATTTGTTGTTCAGTACATACCAAGCAAAGCTGGAATTATTATTTCCATTCCATAAATTGAGTAAAACAAAATGATGAATTTTAAGTAATTGGGCTCAGACAGCTCTAAGTACTGAATGAATAATACATTCCAAAGGGAGTTAAGTGTGGACTGCAGCTAGATTTCTGTGATATCTTGATAAACATGGCAGATTCCACATGTGCATTTCCTATTCTCCCCACTACAATAATAGTAAAAAAATGAAAAGAGCTTAAGTATTTTTAAAACAGAGTGAAGATATTAACAAATTTGGAAGCTGAAAAGTGATAACTGACTTGAGTAGATTATAGAAAATGGAAAACTGAGTACTGTGAAGTTTGGGGAGAAGGATTTGGGGATAAAAATCCCAACAATTTATGGTACAGTCTTCCAGTGAGGCCCAGGAATGGGAGGCCCAAAGGACTTCGAGACTTTCTGGCCCACACTTAAGGTAGATGTTTGGAGGATTCTCTCTAGGTAAAACTGAATAGCTCAATAGAACAGATCTACAAAGCCTGTCTCCTTGGTGTTAGCTTCAACACTTCCCTTATTGAACCAGAATAGAAGCAACTGCCCTTTGTGAGGAAGGACTCGGACCTCACTGGTTTTTCGCTCAAGTAAATCCATTAAAGCAAAGAATCATAGACAATTAGATAAATCATATTTTAATATTTTAACTAGCTAATTTACCACATTTGTATCACAATGCCAAAATATTTTATTTGGGAACATATCCACTGATTAGAATTTCACATTGTAGAAGTTGCCCAGATCATATACTTAGTGCACCCTTTCTAATTTCTGTTAAAAGAATGAAAACTTATGGGCCCTCCCTGGTGGAGCAGCAGGTTAAAGCATAGCAGTAAGAAGCTAAAGCCACTTCAGCATGAGTTTGATTCCTGCCAGCCCTGGAGGTGATCCACATGGCGTGGCAGAACTCTCCTGACCCGCCTGCTGCTCCCCTCAGCAGTGTACTTCATCGATCTGCCTGTTCTGCTCTCCATTCTATGTGTGGTGAATCCTCTCACTGACCCTGCACCTCTGGCCTGTACCCCAGTTCCGTATGCATAAATAAATAAAAATCTTAAAAAAAAACGTATGACAACTAATATATTGCTAACCAGAATGAATGCAGAATCCTTGAAGATTAAGAAAAAAGAAAAAAGAATTCACAACAGCCCCTCCTTTGCTTTGACTATACCTCATTCGTATTTAAAAGTTAGTAACTGGCCTTTTAAAATTCTTTACAAAGCATTCAACTTTTTTAAAAAGATTTATTAATTTATGCATACAAAGAACTGGAGTGACCAGAGGTGTGTGGGGTGAGAGGATTCACCAGAGACAGAGTGGGGAGCAGAACAGGCATATTAACTGAAATACACTGCTGAAGGGAGCAGCAGGCAGGACAGGCCAGATCTGCTCCCCTATGTGGTTCACTTCCCTGGGTGGGATTGAACTTGTGTTTCAGTGGCTGTGGAGAGCTTCATAGTGCTGCACTTTAACTCACTGCACCACCAGGGAGGGTTCCCAGAGCATCCAAATTTGAATGTTTTATAGAAACAAGTTTTCTTTTTATAATAAGAATGTAATTAATAAGTCTATGTGTTTGAATTATAGAAATCTAGTAACAGACATAAATCAGTTGGGAAACAAACATGATTTTCAGAAAACACTCTCTACCTCTTTGGTCTGAATAACTGGCCAGATCTCTAAATCCCCACACTGAAATATGAACAATAAGAGATAAAATGCATAGTTTCAGTAGGTCAAACAGTCATTTAACCATGGTGAGGAATTTGAAATAGATTTTACAGTGAGAAGTAACAAGAAGCCCTAAAGGAAAGCGATACCATTTGTGTTTTGAAAGATCTTTGACAATGGTATGGAAAACATATTAAGAAGGATGATGGTAGCTGCAAATACTGGTAAAATTAGGGATATATTTTGGAGATAGAACTGTCAAAATTGTTGGTGGGCAGCATAGAAGGTTGGGAATTTTGGAATGACTTCTAGGTTAAAAAAACTTGAGCATCTGGGGAGAGTAGTATTTCTTGAGGTGGTGAAAGTTAGTGGAGAAAATGAAACATTCCATTTTAGTCATGTTAAATTTGAAATAACGTAATTGTCCAAGAAGAGACACTGGATTTATAAACTTGAAGCTCAGTGATGAGACAGGGGCTGGAGAGAGAGTTGGCTCATATTATATATTATTTCCTTTGACTTCAACCTTAAACTTTATTTCCTGTTTCATCTACTAGGGTAGTATTTTTTCTTGAGTATTCATATTTAAATAATGGCATTAACACCTTTCTCTTCTACTTCACATCTTCTGTCAACTATATGTTTGCTTTTCTGATTAAGACTGATAACATAACACTGTTCTGGTACCAATTTAAATTTTCATATTGTACTAAAATTCAAAAACAACTATATAGTATTTATAATATGATGATATGCGTTTTGTTCACTTATTAGTCAAATATACTAGGATTGCATTTCTTCTCAGTGATTCCAGTGACAAGTGCTACTTGAAAAAAAAATCAGTCTAGTATCTGTGTCAAACAAGTCCTCTTTTCTAAGTCAAAAATTATTTTCCTGAGAACTTTGAAGACAATAACTTAGATTTAAAACTAGCATTATACTCTTGCATCAATGCTGTTAGATTACATATTGGTTCTTCTTCCTTAGTTATTTTTATTTCTCATTATGGAAACTTACAGAATTTTCTCTTGATAATGATGTATAGATGCTCTTCTTTTTCCCATTCAAACTTGGAAGCAGTCAGCAGAGCCCTTTCTTGCCTCCCTTTAACATTGGGAAACTAACTTCTTGTAGGCAGTATGTAAAGTACTGATTATCACAGTCCTTTGACAGTGGTTTGAACTCTGTGCTTGTTTTCTTATGTGAAAAATTAAGGTATACGTATTCAATAATATTCTGTTCCATAGGGTAGGTATGAGATTTGAATGTGTAAATATTTAGAAAGTTTCATAAAACATCTGGCATATTCTATGTGCTCAGTAAATGCTATCTGTCAGTAATTATATCTTTTCCTTTCTACTTTGGAGATCCAAAAATGGTGGACATTCCAGATTGATTCTCCATGTTACTTTTATTAGTTAACATTTTCTACTTTCTTTGGTACTTTTGAGAGTGTGGATAGTCCTTTACACTATCCTCCAAACCTTTAAAAATAATTTTATATAATTCTAATCTTTGATTGCCAGCCCATAAATTAACGAGATAGAAGAACAGGACAGAAGAACAGCTTGAATTACTAAAATAACTCATGTAGTCAACATCTACCTTATCTGGGGATAAGGCAGTGTCTGTTCACAATGGTAGTGATTATCTAATAGACACTTTTAAGTAACCATCTGACTCCCTTCCCCTCCTCCCCTTCATTCTTGCCTTCTATGCCTGCTGACTGAGACTATGGCTACTTTGGGATTCTGTTAAGGAGATGGCTCTTTATTGCTGCATCTCCTATACAGTCTAGGCTATTACTTCTTTTATTTATTAATAGGTTTGCATTATTTCCCACATTCCAGAAAGTTCTTCTCTTCAGCATTATGGGCCTTGGGAGGCAGAAGATTTAGATGTTTGGGCTTAGTCTACCATTCTCAATTAGAAGTTAAAACTTTATTATCTTTCTGGGCCCTCCCTGGTGTGCAGTGGGTTAAAGCGCAGCACTAAGAAGCTTAAGCCACTTCCACATGAGTTCGATTCCCGCCTGCCCCAGAGGTGACCGACATGGCGCGGCAGGCCTCTCCTGACCACCCACTGCACCCACTGCTCCCCTCAGCAGTGGACTTCGTCAATCTGCCTGTTCTGCTCCCCACTCTGTCTCTAGTGAATCCTCTCATCCTCCACATCTCTGGCCTGTACCCCAGTTCTGTATGAATAAATAAATCTTTAAAAAAAAATTATTATCTTTCTAAAGGCCACTAACAACTGTCCCTATTAGCCACCACCCCTGAGGTGGAAATCATGCTGAATATGACCATTTTCTAATGTCCTGACTTTCACTCCAGCTGCTCTTTGTATCCTTAACTTGTCTCACAGAAGTCAGAAGGCTAAAATTTAGAGGGATTGTTGACCTCTAAAAGTAATCTTTTGTTATCTACTTTTATATTTAAAAAATTCTTTGAATTTAGCTTATGAAATTTTATTAGGGATGAGTACCAGACTGGAACTCAGTAAAATTTGTTTTGACTTGAGTCCTGTTCTTGTTGTATAATCGCTAAATTATACTCATATGGTAAAGATATCTGAGAGCAGGGTTAAGACATAGGTACAACTTACATAAATGTGAAAGACTTAAATTAATTATAATGGCAGTAAATCTGAAAATGTTTAATAGTCTATGTAACAGTAGTTCCTAAATGTCATGAGATATAATCTCCCAAGAAAGAAGAAGGTTGTAAATGGGGAAAACATGGCATTCTTTCACCTCTTCTTGGAAATACATTATTCATATGCTTAGAATAAGGGTGTTAAGAGTTCTGTAGTAAAAAAAAAAAATCTGTTTATAAATTCAAATTTTGTAAAACTTATTTGACCACTTACCACTTTTTTGAGCAGCATCTATAACCATCATCAAAAATTAGTGCCTTTCAGAGTAGACTTTAAGAATTATTCCCATAAGGCATTGCCTGTTAGTTTAGTAGTTATAATTTTAAAAACTTTGCAACAATAATGAGCAGAATACCACTAAGATACCACTAAGTTTCTGACTTGGAGACTGGTGTTATCAATGAGCAATACAATTTTATTGTTCTATTAAATGTGTTTGGGGACAAGCTGCCCACTGGGAAGAGATGAAGAACAATTTTGTCAAGGGTCAGACTTACCACATATATGTGCTTTCATCTCCTATAGAAACATAACTTTCTCAGGAGGTTCCAGCACAATCTTAATTTACTATCAGTAACCTGAGATAACAGAAAAGCTTTTCCACTGCTAGCCTTACCTATTCCACAAGAGGGTTTTTGCAATTTGCTGTGTTTGACTGGCAAAACCAATGGACATGTTGGTTTTTGGAAGTCACTCCTCTGAGTACTCTTGGTGTCATACGGTGGCTGGAAAGGAAGTTTCATATCTTTACCATGTGACCACCAGTCACCCTTAGTGGGAAAAGAATTGAAAACACACAATTAAGTATTGTAGGACATTTTCATATGCTGCTTGATTGTCTAAAACAAGTTACTGGCTATTCTAGTACTAAAATAGTTTCGGAAATCTAGCCATAAATACATTTTCATAAAGACTGAATTTCTTGAAAGGTCTCTAAAATGAATCATGTATTTTTAGCTGAATTCATAAACTACCCTCTATTAACGGGTGGAATAGTAAAAATAACTTTATTTTTCCATGTTTTAAAATTTTATTATTGCATGATTTAATCTAAAAATTATACTTTGTCTTGTAGCTATATAATGTATTGTAATTGAAGACGGTGGTTTTCAAAGTTTTTAGTCCATAACCCATATCATGAAATCCATTTTATATCATCAAGAATACACAGGATACACACAAATCATATCATATATCATCAAGAATACACAGGATACACACAAATTTCAGTTACTCTTACTCTGCAGTACACTCAGCTATTTTTCTGTTTTATTGCTTCTCTCAATTTAGTACCAATGTGGGTTGTAACCCACATTGATTTATACTTCACTAATGTAATGACCCAATTTGAAAACTTTGTTCTAAGAGGTATTTTCAATACTACTGAATTTTTTATAGTAAAATTCGATATGAGTACACAGGAAAAGGAGAACAGATAAGTTCTTCATTAGCACTTATAACAATTTGACCTGTTAAAAGTTCAGAA